ATTTGCATAAATTATTGTAAAAAAAAAAAAAACACCCATCCTACTGTAACATTTGGCAAACGTTGTGAAAGACTGTTTTTCGCAACGTTTGCCAAACGTTGTCGTATCTCTATGATAACGTTTTTTGAACGTTGCCGAAAATCTTCGACAACGTTCAAATGAACGTTGCCGTATCTTTTTACTCTACGACAACACCTCGATTTGCAACACACGTCCAAACGTTGCCGTATGCCTGTTTTTGTTGTAGTGATGTGATGTTGACATGTGATTTCGATATAAAATTCACATTTGTGTATTCTGGTTGGGAAGATACTGCTGATGATTCACGAGTATTCGTTGACGCAGTCACAAAAAGATCGAACAACTTTCCAATGCCACAGGAAGGTATATTATTGTACTTCAAATAATTTTTGTAAATGTATCTACAGTGTTACACTATGTGAGTCTTATTATTTTTTTTTTTGCAGATCAATTTTATCTTGTTGATTCTGGCTATCCAAACATGCCTGGATTTCTTGCCCCTTATCGAGGTCAAAGATATCATCTGATTGACTATGTTGGACGGGGAAGACTATGTGGAAAGGAAGAATTGTTCAACTATAGACACTCCTCGTGCCGTAACATTATTGAACGTTGCATTGGAGTTTTAAAGGCAAGATTTCCTATTTTAAAATTGATTACCAATTATCCACTTAGTAGGCAAACACAAATCTCTACTGCATGTTGCGCAATACACAACTTTATTCATCAGGAATATGCTTTAGATAGGTTGTTCGCTGAGTATTCAGAGGAGAATATAGTTTTTTCAAGATATACCGGAGTTAGGTCAAGATCAAGAAGTCATACATTTTGATGTTAGTCAAACATGTCAAATAGGACAAGTCAGTGATCAAATTGCTACACACATATGGAATGACTACTCAAGACGTCGTACATGACTCCGTGGATTTATTCTATATTTTGTATAGTATCTACTTGTTTTGTCATGACACGTAAACTTCTAATCGTATCGATTGAACTATTTTGCCAAATTTAATTTGGGATGTGTTTTTTATATCCGGAAAAAATATTTTAAGATTCACCGACTTCAAAATGTATATGTTATTTAATACTATATTAACATTAAACTATTATAATTTATTGAATAATCAGATTTTTTGAATAAAATATTATAAAAAATATTCTTAAAATGGCAAAGTAAATGCGTTTTTCATTTTTATGCTTTCAGAAACAGTTTTTCAAAATGACAAAAATAACACATTTTCAGCAATTTCAAAACTGACACTCAAAACACAAAACACAAAATGAATTCAAAACTCAAAACTGAAACATGAAGAAAACAACCCCTTAGAATCTTATGCCAGACTTGTGTACAGGAAAGAAATAAAGCACCAACTAAAAATCTTTATAAACTTCCATACTCGAATTGTTCCACATGAATGATTTTATATTTTCCTAGGATTATGCGACATGCACGTCAAAATTTATATAATGGATTATATGATATGTGGTTCTATTATTTGTCAGTTTAAAACACATTCAATTTTTTCATTCAATTTTCTTACATACTGACCAGCATGTAATACCATTTTTTTAAAAAAGTAAACCACTTCTGCTGGGGTAGGACTTTTTAGGTTTCTACCCAATAGTGTAACGTGGGGTTTGGCATTTTATCTACCCGTTTATTAATATAGAAATGAAGTACTAGAAGGGGAAGTTGGGCATTACCTCCTAACAAGAATAAAAGAAAGAACTTGTGAAATTCGAACAAGTTACACATTTGGATCCTATTCTTAGCTTACCTATGTTTATTCGATGTGAAAATTTCATAACTAAGAGGTTAAGTTTCACCCATTTCAAATTTAAGAGAGAATGTTTAAAATTTCAAATTTCAGATTTTTTAAAGTTTAAAATTTAAAATTTCAGATTTTTTTAAAATTTTATTTATAAATTAATTAATAAAACATATATTTTATTAATTAAATATATTAATGTCACAATTCCATATAATTGGTCACAAATTCTATATAATTGGTCACATATTATTAAGTTGTCACAAATTACAAATTTTACATGTCATAAATTATTTTACGGTCACAATTCAAAAAATTTATAGGTCTCAATTTGTTCATCGGTCACAAATAAAAAATTAAAATGTCAAAAATTATTTTACGGTCACAATTCAAAAATTTTATATGCCACAATTTGTTCATCGATTACAAATCAGAAATTTTATAAGTCACAAATTATTTTACGGTCACAAATCAGAAATTATATAGGTCACAAATTATTTTACGGTCATAATTCAAAAATTTTATAGGTCGCAATTTGTTCATCGATCACAAATAAAAAAAATTATACGTTACAACTTATTCATCGATCACAAATCATAAATATTATAAGTCACAACTTAGTAGACAGTCACAAATTGTCAAATTATCAGATACAAATTAACAATTTTTTAGGTCACAAATTATTTTGTAGTCATAATTTATCTTTTTTATTGTTCACATATTGTTTATAAATCACATATTAACTAATTTAATGGTCACAAACAACCAAATAATCTGTGACCACCACCTCACCACTCCTATTAGCACCACCATCGCTACCACCACCATCACCACTAGAACCACCACCACCACCTCTCAAAAGTAACACCATTTCAAACAAAATAACACATCGCATAAAAACACCACCACATTGTCGTACCAAATCCACCACAACCTCGACAGACGTATCGCCAACAACATCTCACCATCACCTACGACCACCACAGCCCCCATCCACCAACAACTAAAAACACATCCAAAAACCCACATCAGATTGTGGAGCTGCGATCTGGACATAGCGCGCAGACCACAACCAACACCACCACCAAGATCCACTACCACCACCATAGCCACCACCATATGCAACATAATCTCCACCACCGTTGGATCTAACAAAACCACAATTGCCCAAACACCACCACCACGAGCACCATTACCACCACCACCACAACCCAACCGCCGACATCTCCGTTCCTGCAAAAACCCCCCGCCCAAACAATAGATAGCAGGCACACCAAGCGCCACCTAAACACCAACAAAAACCCAACCCAAACATCAACAAAACCATCGTCACCAAAAAGATTCGACACGCCGCCTAAGCACCAGATCGCAAGCACAACAATTTTCGCCCAAACACCAACAAAACTGCCACCCAAACACCAAATCTAAACTGAGAGAAAGAGGGTGGAGCATAGAGAGAAGGGAGATGGAAGATAGAAAGACATGACATCATCGCTCATCTAGCAACGACGACGACATCTCCATTCCTACAGTGGTAGCGAACGTCGCGACACCTCGCGAGGTACTGGTCGGAGCCGGAGCCGAAGCCAGAGTAGGAGCATGCTTTCTTTTACTTGTTGAAGTCGCCAGTGGGAGAGGGATATGGAGAGGGAAGGAAGATTGGATAATGATTTGAGATTTTGGGATTTTTAGGGTTTGGGTAGTATTAAAGATTTGAATTAATATATGATTTTTGTATAAATAAATTTTATATCTGATTTTTGAAATTGAATTTTGAAATTTCTAGTTTGGTGTAATTTCCTCTTATTCGATGCTAGCTTACATTAGTGAAGCCTATTTAGAGCATGCAATTATTCATCATCTAATTTGGGCTTCATTTTCTTAAATATGGAAGGAGAGTGCACGCAGGCTTGTTTGGTTAAAGCTAATCTACAATAAATGTAGAATAAAAAAAATAGTATTTGTGAAAATATAAAACTTATTAATGTGTATGTTGTATGACCTGCGATTACTGCATGACATGAAGAATTCCAATGTTTTTGATTTCTTTGTAAAAATGGTTCACATTGTAATTGTCCATCTATCTTTTTTTTAATGACTCGGGTGTCTAAGTTTCGCCCGACTAATCCTGAAGAATGACGTTCTTTCCCCCTAGTTCGCCACCTGATTTAATCCAGATACGGTCACATCTTATACACACTTAAGCCGGACATTCGGTAATTCTCTTTCCTATGGACATCTGCCTTCTAACATAAATGTTGCCTTTCAGCTACTGCGAAAATTCAAACATTCAGTTCTCCATAGAGAACCATCTTGCTTTACCACTGCACCATACCCATGGGGACACCCCATCTATCTTTTATGACATGAATATAAGTTGAAAGAGATAAATCTCTATTATTACAATCCATTAGGATCACATATAAATTTGAAAGAAATTAATTATTATCTATTTTTATATGAAAATAGTATTAAATTATGACCTGAAATTTGAAAAAATTATAAAAAATTGATATTTCTAAAATCGTAATTTGGTAGTTCCAATTATTTTTTTCCCAATTCGGAAATTGTTTTCGAAATGGGCCGTCCTCTTAGCCCATAATAGTCAACCCAATATAATCCAAGTCCAAGGCCAAGATAGTGGTGGCAATCGAGTCGAGCGGCTCATCGGCTCGGCCGCTCGGACTCGTCCAAAAACGAGGACTTGTCAAAAAATGAGCTCGAGAACAAGCCGAGCAGGCTGGCTCGGTAGGCGAGCCGAGCCTGCTCCGCTCGTTTTTGATGAGCGGCTCGTCTATTTTTTTTTTTAAAGAAGGATAGTTAAAAAAAAATTCAAAAAAGGCGAGCTGCTCGGCTCGGCTTGCTACAGTACGAGCTCGTGGGCCATGCCGAGCTCACCCACGAGCAACGAGCTCGAGCTTGAGCGCAACGAGCCGAGCCAGCTCGTTTGCCACCCCTAGGCCAAGACAACAATTATTACATCATCTAACATGTCCCGTTTATCCACGTAATAAAATCTGCTAACAATTACTTACAAAAAAAAAATTCATTACAGTTTCCTTTTCAATTATCAGATCTACCATTTTAGAAATATTAAGCCCCACAACTAGCCTATTCAATTAATTCCCCCCAAATTATCAATTGATATACAAAAAATTCCTAAACCTCAACCAGGAAAGGACATCTTTGGCCTGAAATTGGTTGATGATGTGGAATTCGGTTGCTAATTTGAAGGAAAGTTTGAGTAAAATCGCACTTGATGTACACGACGATGACGGCGATGAAGATCTGTCGATTTATACTCCCCGACGCGATCGATTTGATAATAGTAATAACAGTTATTCAGCTTCTGAGCGAAGGATTTCTCTCAATTTCACTAATTCGAGGTCACCGACACATTCGCCAATTGTTAATGGATTTGATTCACCTCATAATCGCGAGGTATTTATAATTTATTCAAGATTTCAATGGCAGTGTTTTTATATCCAGTGGGTTTTGAATTTTTTTTTTTATAATTTTATCTATTTGTTTGATTGTGAATTTTTCGTTTGTGTATATCGGTGGAGTTTGAAATTGGTTGCGGGTTTAATTTAATTTGGTGATGTATTTTTGAGAATCAAGTGTTCTGTTTAATTTGTTGAAACTCAGTTTTGGTGTGGCTCGAGGTTAAATTTGTGCATGGCCTATGCCTGTTTGGAGGTTTTACTACGATGTTTATATGTTTCTCAATGTGTTGTACCGCTGGCTATGTGAAATTGAAAGATCTTGATGTGAGAATTATTCATAATAACTAATTCGTTCTTATTGTTGCTCATGGAATGATGGAAAATCAGTTCTTATTTCTTAGTGATGCAAGTAATGAATACACTATAGTTGACTGGTGGTGTACTTGAATATAATGTTTCTTGATCGTCAACAAATGTGGAGAGCTTTTCTGTGGGAGAGGCTGAAATGATGTCCTCATTACATAATAGGGCTGAGAGTGTACAAATGGCTACTTTTCAGAGGATTCTTGTGTTATTTCCAGGAATTATTAAGTAAGTGATACATGTAATCCAGAAGTCAAGAACCTATTTCAAGTTTTCGTCTCTAGTGAGAAGTATGGCTTATGCAAAACATCATGTTTTCTTTCATTCGACAGAGAAAAAATTGCTTACATTCTTCTAATAAAATTGTTGAGAGAAATAAAATATTTAGATTTTCTTGATTTCTGAATTTAAGATAAATTTTTGGGAATAGACAATCATTTTTGCGAAGCGCTAAAAAGTGACATTAAAATTATCCATCTCATTTGCTGATTTTCACCACTACATTGCAGTGATTCATCTCATCTTAACGTAGCACATTTAATACGTAGGAGATACTGCTCTTTTAGGCTATGCCACATTGATTCACGGATAGTTAAGTGGTTGCAGCCTATCTAATATCAGCATGGCTTTCAGCTATGATCTGAAATGCCATAAAATTGCCTGCAGCATGCAGTTTGGCTTTAGAACAATGCTGTTAAGTCTTGTTTGATGAGTAAAACTCTGAAAAATGTTGTATCACTTGTGGGTTTTTTGAGCAAGTCATCACTCTTGGTATACCATGGACTGTTGGTTTAAACGAACATAGTTGTAACAGGTGGCCTTCTTGGGCTATGTAATTTGAGACTGGAGTATTATTTGCATCTTTAAAGGTACAAATTTTTAATTCAACTCGCTCCCACATTCCAAACTTCTAGGGTAAAACATCGTCTATTTAACCATAGTGTTGTTGGATTGACTTGAAGGAAGCTTCTCTTCTTTTGTAAATATGGGTAGAAAATATATTTGCATATAATTAATTAATCTTAAGTGAAATTAATCTAAGGGACTCAATCAAAGCGTCTGCACTGTTACATATAAATTTTGAATTTTTATATTATGCCGTTGGTTTGCACAATCTTGATAGATTTCCTTGGGAATATTAATTGTTTGGCATAATTTTCCTTCTCCCTCATCTGATATCAATTTGTGTATCATATGTGCTCTTGCAGATTGAAAAATACAAAGAAGAAATTAAGAAGCTTCAGGAGTCTGAGACAGAAATCAAGGCATTGTCAGTTAATTATGCTGCTTTGCTGAAGGCAAAGGAGGTATTTCACACACTAAAAATATTCAAGTCTAAGCTCTCATTGGGTTGCGATTGCTCGTTATTCATACATTGAAATTGTCAGTTAACTGATGATGGAAGAATTGTGTTTCGTGCATTTTGTTGAACTTATGAGTGTATCTGTTGTATCTTTTATGTGAAACAAGACATCTTTCAGGATTTTACATTGCTGATATTTTTGAAATCTAATCTAAATAAAGTCTTTTTTTTTATCAACTTCTGCTTTGGATTATTAGTCCTTGCATTTGGGAATACAACAGTTTTGTGTTACTTGTGCCTTTTATTACAGGATCAAATTTTGAGGTTGGCTGAAGAAAATGACTCATTGAAACAAAATCTTCTTACGACAAATGCTGCTCTGAATGCATCTAAGAATGTGCACAAGGTAGATGACAATGTTAAGTGCTATTTTTTTTTATTAAGAAAGAGAATCTGTCAGTGGATTTCTGCTAAATTAATGCGGTTTAAAGATTCAAATTGGATATCCATATATAACACGGGATTTCAGTGAAATTAATAGTGGACGAAGCTTGTAATCTTACTCTTTACGATCTTATTTGAAGCAATGTACAATTAAGTCCTATAACCTCTATGTAAGATTAAAGTGTTGCTATGTATGTGATGTCTTGATAAAGTAGGGTTTCTGGACAATAATTTTGTCTGATAACGCGCAATTACTTTGGCAGGTGAGTTAGGAGATTTCAATAATGAATAATGATGTTTATGATATGGGATGTGAAAATTGTGCTTGCCTAATAGTTGTGTATTGGTTGCAGTTGTTACAGTGCGTCAAACAGTAGCTTCCGTATGAAAAGAATGATTGGAATTTTTAGTTGCTTCTATTTCATAATTGAAGTATTGAATAAATGCCACAATTTTCTCTTTAAAGCATATATTACAGCAAGAGTTTTACCTTCTGTATTAGGTGTTGGCTGATATTATCTGTAATTTGTTCAGGGGAGAAACGATCTTTCACCTAGTCGACAGAATAAAACTGCAGTAAAGAATCATACTACCGGAAGCCCACAACATAATGGACTAGGAAATGGAACCACTTCAGCCAATGGAAAGGTAGGAAACTGTGTCTGTTTCATTTAGAAGTCAAAATCTTTCATGGTATTTGAATTTTTCTTTCTGTAACTCTTCCCATTTCCTCAATCAAAAACTTTACTTTATATTTTGCACGTTGTCATCCATGGTGAATGAACTTGACATATATATATTGATGCCTTCTAGGAGCTAACAGATTTGGTGGAAGAAAAAAATAGATCCCTTGCAGCAATGCAAGCGACTCATGAAGTTCGAATGAAACAATTGGGAACGGAACTCGAGAAAGAACGTGACAAATTTGCGACTTTGCAGAAAAAATTACAAGGTATTTATGTACTCATGGAAGATCCATCTCTGACAGTAACACATTTGAGTATTTGAGCTGACAGCTTCAATTCATTCTTAGAGGAACAGAATTTGAATGCATCTTTTCAGCTGGAGCTCAGATCATTAAAAGACGACAATGATAGAGTGAGTATTTATCTTATTTCTTCTTCAAATGACTGCTGTGATGATAGGTTCTTTAGTACTACATAACAAAAGAAAATGAAGTTTGTTTAGGATGTTCTTAATAGCTAACGCATTTGTGTCTGCAATATCTTACAGTTGGAATGTCATGAAGTGATATAAACTTTGCTTTGCAAATAACTTAATTCTAATGCGTCAGTTTTTCTAAAGGAGTCACTTGTTTGTACCGGTACTTAAAGTACGCCAAAAAAGACCCAGCATTTCCTGTCTGTGGTTTACAAGTAGACCTTAATGTTGAACTGCTGTCAGTTGGAGTCATCAGCTTGCTTAACTGAGAGATGATTATGCTGGTGAAAAAGCTATATATTGGATTTTGCTATTTGAACATATCACTTGATAAATATATACATTTACCGATTTATGTCACCTGTAATTGCGAACATGCAATTCTGCCTTAAAGCGAAAAAAACAACAGCGTTACAACTCCTTCCCGTTACCATGTTTGACTTACTGTTAGGTTTTCCCCTGTTTTTCAGATGTCCAAAGATATGAACAAAGTACACGTTGAACTGAATCAGAAGATATCAGAGATAAGAAGATTGCAGATGGAGTTACATGGAAGAGACAGAGAACACACCGATGACACTGTAGAGAAATTAAAAAAAGTTATTGCTACCTTGGAGAATGAAAAGAGCAATATTAAGGTCAATGCCTTACCATGACTTATGAAACATATCTTTCTCAAAGAGTAACACAATAACTATTATGGAAGTATTACATCATATTCAACATTCTTGTAATCTTGGACCTTACACCTGCTTCAATGCTGTTTTTCCATGGTAGAAAGAAAGAGATGAATTTGAGGCTGCTTTAAAAGTTCGCATCTCTCCAGCACATAAAGACATATCGGGCGGTATAGATAATTTAGATAAGCATTTCAGTAATGAGGTGGGTTCATTCTAGCCTTTTTGTTGTTCGATAGAGATCTCCTTCCCACTACTATTGTTATTTCTTGTTTGCTTCTAAATTCATTTCAAGCAGGAAAATGGCAAAGCATGTATTTCCATTTGTCAAGATTTTTTGTGGTAGAGATTTCCAACTTCTAAATATGTATGTAATTTTTGTTTAGAAGGGAGAATCATCGAACACATTTCCAGAACAGGAAGAAATGCTGCAATCATTGCAGAAGCTGGAGAAAGATTTGAAGGAAACACGCCAAGAAAGGGACAAAGCATTGCAAGGATTGAATCGTCTTAAGCAGCACTTATTAGAAAAGGTGTGCCTTCTGGTCTTACTTTTTTGAGTGGGCCATTACAAATGTTGATGATGACATTGAACTTCTCTTCTGTTGGTATCCGTTACTCACTTTTAATATCTCCCATTTACATATTCCACTAAGTCAAAATTGATCTTGTGTCTGCTTTGTTCATAGGAAGCTGAAGAATCGGAGAAAATGGATGAGGATAGTAAAGTTATTGAGGAACTGCGAGAAACCAATGAATACCAAAGAGTTCAAATATTGCATTTGGAGAAAGCTCTTCGGCAGGCAATAGGAAGCCAAGAAGAAATTAAAATGTCTAATAACAACGAGCTGAAGAAGTCTAAGGAAACAATTGATGAGCTTAATAGAAAATTGGCTAGCTGTATGAGCACAATAGAGGCTAAGAATATGGAAGTTCTTAATCTGCAAACTGCTCTTGGCCAGTATTATGCTGAAATTGAAGCTAAGGTTAATCTCCCTCTCTTTTCATGTATAATATAAGGAAGGAGAAGGATATTTGAATAACATATTTACAAACTTTGCGTGTTCAGGAGCGTCTTAGAGAAGAGTTGGCAGTTGCGAAAGAAGAATCAGCTAGACTTTTTGAGCAGTTGAAGGTGTAGTTTCTTAACTTTGGTCTGTCATAAATTTTTTTGGTAGTCTCTGTGTCTTTAGTCTTTTAATACTTTTTTCAATATTGTCTTTAAACAGTGGCAATATAGAGTTATTATAGGCATGGGTAACATTATCTCACTATTAGATAGAAAGCTCAACTTGATTATTTCATATGTGACATTATGTGTCCATCAAGTTAAAAGCTATTCGACATTGTACGCCTCTTAATAATACATAAGCTGCATCATACAGCTATGAGCTTTGATGTAATATTTTGTTGGCGTGTTGTTGATATCTTAATGCTGGTATGCTTTTGACTGTCATATTGCTGATTTAGCAAATTGTCCATCAGTGCTTTAATGCAAATTGACTTTATTATCCTACTGTCTCACTTCAAATGTTTTCCAGGATGCACAGCACCAAGCAGGAGCATTGAAAGAGGAAAACGGAGAAATACTGGGAAAGCTTTCACAAGCTGAAAGAATGCTTGGTGAAGGAAAGAACAGAGTTAAGAAGCTTGAGGAAGATAATGAAAAATTGCGCCGTGCTCTTGAGCAGAGCATGACAAGGCTAAACAGGATGTCTGTGGACTCTGATTTTCTTGTTGACAGGTTAGACTACTTGAAGTTTTCATGCATCTATCATGAGGTATCTCTTCTAGATTTTGCATGCTAATATTCTTCATGCAAGAAATTAATTTTCATTCTTCCGTATTTTTGGTAATTGGTCTCTTTTTAGGCATTGTGGAATTTGCCATACAAGGCAAATGAGATTCTTTAGAAAAATATTAGGAAGATAGTGGAGATGTCTCTAAGAAGATGGGGTAAGGAGGTAGAATAGGCATGGATTAACAGAATAAGACACCTACAGCTTACTGGTATATGTATAGTATGAAAATCTCTCTCATCTTGGCCATGCCATTTCATGATTGCATACAGAACAATTTGTTACTGTTTAAATCTTAATACGCTCATGTCACATTCTTGCACAATCAATATGGGCTAAACCAGCTCCTGAATTCTAATGGGTCACTAATGTTTGAAGATGCCGACAGTATATTTGGTTGGGTGGGTGTGGGGATTGGGGCATCATGTTTCCAACTGTCCTCGTGCTGTCCTACCATTAATGGTCACGTAAAAGATGTTGCTCACTCAACTGTGCGTGTTCTCTCTTAGACGCTCTTCCCGAATGGAGAGCCCTCCCTTAACATCCAAACCCAGCCACCTAGACACCAACCCACCACATCCACCACCAACCACCATTAACATCCAAACCCAGCCACCTAGCCACCAACCCACCACATCCACCACCAACCACCAAAAACCGGCCTCACGCCAACAAACCCTGGCCAACCCGACCAGGGAAGACACTCGCAGGCAGCAACCCTAGGTGCAAACCCTAGCGCCGCCGCTCAAGATCTGGAAATAGGCAGCTTTCCGTCCACCTCCAGGGACCACGCGCCTGACTGGTCTACTCCCCTCGCCATTCCGACCCCGGCGAAGGCGGCGCTGCTCCCTGGTGGTGCGCCGGCTACGCGTGCGCCTCACGCTTCGGCGGCGCGTGTCCCCCACGTGCCGGCGACTGGCAGATAGCAGCAAGTGCGTGTTCTGCCCAGGTCATTCCAACCCTCCGTTCTGCTGTCAGATGCGCCATTTCAACGGCGTGCGGATTTGTCTGGTACGAAGGAATTTCATCTTC